TTTTTTTTTTTTTTTTTTTCATATTTTTTTCCTTTTTTTTTCAAACATATTTTATTTACCCACAGTTTTTACTCAGTACTGATTAGTCAAATTGAAACATTTTCTGTCTTGTAAAAGACAATTTGTCACTCAAACAATGTAGTTGATTTGTTAATATGTCATGTAAAAAAGAAAAATCTTCAACAAATGGAACCAAAGAAACATGCACACCAATCACATAGATTCAGAATGCATCCTGGCTTCAACTCTCAGAATTGAAACATTATTACATCCATATCATTAAGAACGACTCAACCCTTCTTTAGCCCGGTTCATCACTTTTTTGACCCGTTCCTTCTCCTCGTTCAAACCCTTCTTATCGAGCGCTTTAACCAAAATCTTATACGCAGAACCCTTCAGTACAAAACCCTTATCCACCATCTCCTCAAAAAATGAGCACGCCTTAGCCACATTCTTACTCCCACACAGCCATCTGACCAAAAGCGAATAAGTCCACTGATCAAGGCTCACATCGTTTTTAAACATGTGACCCAACAAAAACGAGAGCACCTTCATTCTCCCCAACCTGCAGCACATTTTCAATAAGGGCGAGTACGTATAGATATTTGGCCTGCATTTATTTTCCTCCATTTTCTTAAGCAAATTAAGCGCCTTCTCCTCTTGAGACCCTTTATAGGCAATCATAATAAGCATATTGTAAGTCTCCACATCAGGAACCACCCCTTGCTTGGACATGTCATCAAAAACCTCTTCAGCTTCTTTAACCCTTCCCGCTCGACTCAGAGCACTAATGAAAGCGGTGTAGAACAGGGCATTGGGCGAGCAATTGTAAGTCTTCATCAATGCATAAATCTCCATGGCTTTATTTATTTCCTTTGCTTTTCCATAGGCCTGCACCATGATGGTGTATGTCACCATATCTGGATTAATACCATCTCTCTCCATTTCCACTAAAGTGGAATCGACTTTACGAAAATCCTTTTCGTGACAGTAGCTCTGGATGAATCTAGTGTAGGTAACCGTGTCAGGGCGGAAGCCGTGGGCCCGCATCTCGTCCACGGTTTTTCTAGCCGTCTCGATTTGCCCGATTCTGCACCAACCGTGGACCAGCATATTGTAAGTATGTTTAGTAGGAGGAATATTATCTTTAAATTTGAAATAAACTCCCTCGGCGTGCTCAACACTGCCTTGTTTTACTAACGTGTAGATTAATATATTTAAGGCAGTTATATCCTTTTCAATTCCGAATGATTCAATACTTTTGAATGCCTCGATCGCGTCCTCGTACTTTCTGCCTGTTACAAGACGCCTCATGATTTTCATCATTGTGTCCAAAGTGAAGTACCCTTCTAGCATTTTCATTTCCTCCGCCAATTCCCACATCTTTTCAAATTTCTTTGCTTTCCCCAAATTGTCGATCAATAGGTTGTAAATTCCAGGCGGGTGTTTAAACCCGTTTCGCGACTCGGCCCACTTGAAGAAACCGAGGGATGGGACCCACTCATGGCTAAATCTACAGAGTATTTCCTCAACCAGGTCCTCGGACAAATCAACATCACAACCCTCTAATGCTTCAATAACTAAATCCGGGGATTTGAATTGGCTGCTCTTTAGGATGCTACTAATCTTGTCCACATCACTCTCGATAATGTCATTCACAATAATTTTCATGTCATCTTCTTTGACGACAGACATGTGGTCTTCAATCCAGTACGATAATGACGGCGGGACAAAGTCGCCATTTTCCGGCTTGTTATCCATTTTAAATTTAACAGGATTCATAACCCAACCAGGAAGCTCGGGTGACTCCTCACTGGTTGGTTTTTCGCCAGTTAGAAGTGGCTCGCCGGTAGAGGAAAACGCATTGTGCAATGGAATCGTAACTCTAGAGTAGTCATAAAGGAAATGATCTTGCTTGTAACTATTCAAACACGATCGAGCCTGGGATCGTGACAAAGGATACAAATGCTTCAATTTTGAAAGCATTCTTGGGTTACCTGATAAGTGAATACATGAAACAAAGTCTAGCGATCGATTAGAACATAGAAATGCAGTTAGCACAATAGTGCAATGATTTTAATGTAACAATAAGCTCGAGTGTTCTTCGACAACAGAAACATACAAAATAGAAAGGAATAATGACAAGGGTAAAACTTAAAATCTATGAAACGCATGAAATGGCAAACGGGCATTTCCTCGAACAGATGGCGTGCATACATAACAAATTACACCAACTCAGAAACACAAAAGCAAATAAACTGAAAAGAGGGCAAACTCCAACTTCGTCATTCAATTTATACAGATTAACATCCAAGAATGATAAGCACCAGTATTGGGCACATCATACGGACCATGCCATATAGATACATTACAGTTATGGAATTTGCAGAACTCACCAAATTAGTGAAGAACTCACAAAATGAGTGCAGCCATGAAGGAACCCAAAAGCACAAGGAAAAAAAAAAGCTACAAACTCACATGAATTCTGTCTATCTGACTGTGAGTTAATATGTAACTATAATGAGTTGTTTACTTCACCATATATATATCAGCCTTCTACATGAGAGAGGAGGCGTACAAAATATTTGTAGATATATTGATTTTCATATTCTCCATTTTATCATAGTTTTTAAACCTGCCCGGTAATCAACCCGGGCATATATCCAGGTCACTGAGTCACGGTTCAACTGCCGGGTTATCGGGTCAATTGTTGAATCAGATAATTAATTTTAAAATTATATATAGAGTATTTAAATATACATAAAAGTAACAAAATTAAATGATTTGTATGTAAAAATTGTAGATTAAAGTGGTAATAATATTTATTTCATGACAAATATTTACCATATAAATATATACATACATAGTTTTATTTTCTAAGAACAAAAAAAAAAAAAAAA